CCCCCCTGACACTTTGCGACGAGCGTTTTACTCGCTCGAATTTACTCGCGGGGGTGCGACAGTAGATTAATAAAATTTCGTCTGCGTTTCTCTCCTTCTCTTTGCCCCCCATAGATCGCGTACAGATTTACGCGCGTTATCCGTGCAGAGGAGAGAGTCGATGATCTCGCTCGGGGATGAATAGTTAAAACGTAACGGTCTCTTTACTCTTAAAGAGCGCGGGGTGGATTTATCGCGCTCTTTGAGTTCCGACCGGACTGTTCCACGGCTCTCCGCGAAATGAAGATAGAACGAAGTCGCGTAGGTAAAAATGTTACACCGTTTAAACCAAGCTCCATCTTTTTATCCCGAAGTCATTCTGCGGAGAAGATCGTAATAGACGAGGTTGACTTTCGGGGGTGAATGATTTATTGAAGAGGAAGAGAGATATATATATATATATATATATATAAACGATCCCTGTCGAATTAAACGGAGAGCCGTGTTGCGTTATGTATGAATTATTGTAGCCAAACTCGGAACTTGTGCCACGGTCGGCCTCTCCACGTAGACCCACAGTGCCGACTAGGCAGGTCTCTCTAACGATCGCTAGCAGGCGTCCAGGCGGCCGTCAGAGCCTTCGAAGCCTTGTTTATAAACATGATCGACAATTATCAGAGCTTTGTACCATCACACAAGTCAATTGCCGGGATTCTCGTTCGACACGTCGACTGCCACGTGCTGAATTCGCGTGCTACATTTTTACTGGATCACGTCAATGATATTTTGTTTGGTATGTGTTTGTTTTGTTTTCCTCTCAATATTCCCCTGTACAAATACTTCGCAAAATATTTCCTAATTAGCCGAGTAACGTCCTCATCCGCACAAACGGGAACTCAACCGTTTGTGAATGAGGTCAACGGTGTTGAATTACCATTTATCGTAACGAAAATCATAAATGCGTTGTCTTCTCGTTACGGAACGAGTGTCGATAATCTCGGCAATAACGCGCGCGACGATATCTTCCTTTATCGTCGGGCTCGTGCCGCAATCGCGTGAAATGCGAACTCGCGAATCGGAGAATCCCGGCTTGACGTTAAATCGGACGCGAAGAGAGAGATACGCCCGTAAAAAGCCATCGCGCATAAGCGTAAAAACGGGCTCGCTGGAGATCGATGCCGTAACCGCGCGGTTATCAAGCATTTATCGCGTGACAGCACATTCGATTCCGTCGTGCTACCGTAATCCGCAGATTTCAGTCGACTCGCGCGTGATCCCGTCTTGCTTAATTAACTTTAATTGCGCGACCCTTTGCCTTCGTGCCATTGATTATAACATTTTGAAGGAACGTGGAGGAAGGCTCGCTCGCCAACAGCCACGCCAACGTTCGACGTCCTCGTTGTTCGTCTCTCGAAACGAAAGCGGAAGAGGGAGTCGGAGAGAACTAGGCGGCTCGCTCTGAGGTAATTTCTTATTTTTAATCGGCCGACGAAGTTCTAATTGCGCCTCGTCTTACCGTTCGCGAGAACGATGTTCTCTTATGCTAACGCGGATCGATTAAGCGTGCTACGAGCCGAGCAACGAGAACAATAATTATGCCGATAATGTTGGCGATCACGCGAGCCGCTAAGCTCTTTCTCGTTCTCACTCTCTCTTTCTCTCTAGTGTGTTCTACCGTTCTACTAGTCTTCATCTCTCTCTCTCTCCCGTTCTCTGTCCGATACCGCTGGAAGAATCAAGGTAATCGGACGGTTTGGCCTCGATACGATCGATAATCCCTGTATCGCGCGGTATTCCACGTCTGTACCCACATCGCGCCGCACGAGAACGAGCCGCGTTAGGCGAATCACCCCGTGAATATTTCCCTTTGTTCCGCGCGCTGCGTGTGTTGGAAGGGATTTACACGATTCGCGCTCTCGTCGATTCGGATCAATCGCGCATAAAGCGAAAGAAAGGCGAATTGCGAAACTTCCGCAAGTCATAATTCGCGGCAGGGAGCGAGGGTGGGGACGATCGAGACTCGAGGGCTCGGTTTATAGTCCGGAAATCGGAATTGAAACGTTCGTAATCCCGACATTGGCCTTTGGCGACGTGCAATCGTATGGGACAAAATTGTGTATGGAAAAAAATGGAAAAAATTTGCCAAATAAACGGTAAAAAATTTGGCATTAAATTTAACACGCTTCACATTTTAAACGGTCCATATAAATTTTTGTGTTTAACACAAGATGAATATGTTAAAAAATAATATAATGTCAAAAATTAATGCAAGATCAGCCCTTTAATGGTAAAGTGAGATCAAATTGATCCTACAGCTTTGTTTTTCACAGTGTGCACACGCTGTTTCTCTTCTTACGGAAAGTTGATGAAAACATGAAAAATAAACAAAGCACTTTGCCATTAGAGGGTTAATCGATATTGAAATATAAAATGTATTATTTTAACACTTACACATGTTTTGAATATCGACTCAACACAAAATATATTGAGATAATATAAATGCAACATGCTAAATTAATACACGGATACATTAAAAATTTAAGAAAAAATGTTGACAATGATCGATTTGAACACAGGTACAAAATGTTCTTTACTGTGTAGACTTCAGGTCGACACAAAATTGGTCGAGTTCTCCGGGAATTGAGATTAGAGGTGTTTCCCCACTGCTGGAAGCTTTTATACATTTTACGTCGACCTGAAAATTAATGTGTACATATATATAACTTGTTTTGAAACAATTGTTCCGTACAATGGCTTATTGTGGAGAATCGATATCATACGTTGCAGAGCGAAAATAAAATAAAAGAGAAAAAACACTGATGTAGGTCATGTGAAGTGATTTACAATCGAATTGTTTATATTGGAAAGGGCATAGCTCACATTTTTGGCCAAATTGAATCAACAATGCGTTTCGATACTTCAGCTCTTAACTGTTGTGTTTGAAAAGGACACGTGTCGCATTGCAGAGATGCACGCTCTCGCGCACGAATCTGCATTAGTTTTAAAAGCGGCGCAGCGAAATATCAGAAACGTATTAAATGAAATAAACTCTCCGCGAGGGAGCGAACTTCGCAGAGCGTCGAAAACGATCATTCTTTTTTTTTCAAAAGTTATGTTAAAAACCAGTCTCTAACAGTTGAACGCGACCGGGTAAAAGAAATATTTGCGCATCGCTCTCCAGTTTTGCGATAAATTTGCGCGAAAAGCGAGAAAAACGTTCCGCCAAATTTTCACCATCGCAATCGTTTTCATTTTGTTATTTCGCGCTTGCCGTGAAATCGACGAAATTGTTTCCGGGTGACGAGAGCGCATCCGAACGCGCGCGATCCTTCCAAATTAAGAGATCTAATTAGGTTACCGATAAAACCGGTATTACGTTCGACAATGGCCCTCGGAACAGTTTCCGTACGTGCCCCAACGGCGTTGCGCGTTTGTATTTTTCAAAGGGCCATTAATCTCCGCGAAATCTGCAGCATCCCGGATTGCATTTGATAGTGGATTTGTGATGACGCGCCTAAACGAAAACCCGTTCACGCGATACACGCACTTGGGATGACTCATCCGGGATGATCGTTCAGAGTGAACCGTGTAAATTGGGTTTCGGCGGTCGCCTCCAGCCCGCGAATTTACGCAATCCCGCCCGTCCAAATGCAACGTCAATAAAATATAGGTGAGCCGTCCGAGGTACGAGCGCGATTCGACGGGTGTCGTTTAATTTTGTAGCACAGACCGGTCCGATTCGTCCAAAGGGATTCGATGATTGGGCGCGATTGTGGAGAACGGATTAAAACGACGCTGCCGTTGTCCTCCGCCAACACTGCCGTCGCTACTGCCGCCGGCCGTGACTCGAACGGGAGATCAAAAACAGCCGGAGTAACGAGAGATACGAAAATCAAGTTTATAATTGAGTCCACGTCGGCATTATCCTAGAAAAATTTCATTTAGACAAAGAGGGATATCGCGAATAAATTAAAAGAAAAAAGAGTTAGCTCCGGTCGCGGGTAATTCATGCCAAGTTCCAAGTTTATACTTTCTACGATAATAATAGAAAATAACTTTGATTAAGGTATTTATCAAGGTCATTCGCATTGTTAACAACGTAGTTCTCCTGTGTCCTACGTTTAAATGGACTATTGGAAACTATAAATGAATCCTCGAAGATGAGGAGGACGAAAAAAAATTAGAGAAGAAGAAAATGAGCGACAAACAGGGAATTTTTCGAATGAATCGCCCTTTAAAACCGTAAATCCTTTAGAACACTTAAGAACTGCCGTGTATAAAGCTCTCAAGATATACAATCAACATCAATAAGAAAGGTCAATAAAAACCAACACACATAAGTCACATAATTGTTTATCTGTTATCAATAGTCCCGCCGACTATCGGAAGAGCAAACGTTTCGATCGTTGAATCTGATATTTCCCACTGAATTATAAACACAATCATATAATTAAAAAAATGTCCTTGCAAAATACCTTTGTTTCCGATTAGTTTTTTGTAACGAATGGTGGAAAGTGTCGTAGCGTTGCAACTACTTCGAATCGCCCGTGCGAAGCCGTCGACGTTAACACAGGAACGGCGATAAACAATCATCGCGGCGCGGCAAACATACGAACGGTGAAAATGTAAACGCCGCGTACGTAACATGGAGAGCGCGCTTAAGTAAAATTTACCTTAACGCTCCGAAGCTTTCAACGCATTCTTAATCGACGTGCTGGAAAACGCACCTAATCGGCCCAGAGAAAAATAAACGTCTCGTCTGAGAAAGAAGGAGAGGGCGTAAAAGAAAAACAAAACAAGAAAGAGAGAGAACGGAGAAAGAAAAGGAAGGAGGCAGCTTGCAAATCCGCCGTATGAATTAAGCGATTATCGGCCTCGCAATTTTTTCTCACTCAAGCTGCGACGTTGCTTCACGCACGACTGCGTACGTTTTAATAAGCGCTTCTACAGGGCGATCCGAAAGTTTCCACCCGCGTGGAACCGGTCGGGAGACTAATTTAGGATGAATTCGTCTGAACAAACCGTTTTCTCGAGCCAGCAATGATTGAAAATTCAGGAATTAAGCTTTCGCGCAAATTGATAACGAAACGCTGTTTTCCGTCCAATTTCGAGCGCGCGCTGCTCTCGAGGAATTTCAGCTGAACGATCAATCGTGCAAAAATACGCAGAAACGAGACATTTACGGTGGGAAAGACGAGATTTCGCGCGGAGATAAAGTCGACCCTCCAAATTGGAGAAAGAATTCACGAACGAAATCCGACGTCTGGGACGTCCTGTATGTGTAGTCCGCTTTGGACTTTTCCGTTTGTTTATTCGCAGCGCGTGCACGGATTAAATTGTTCCTATTCTTATTTTAGCCGCCGGGAAATGTCGTTCGGTAGGGTGGGGTAGATAGCTACACGGTACGCCAACAACGTCGCATAAATTCCGCGATTAATCGTCGCGCCCGATCAATTATTGAGCGCGCGCTTTTTATCCGCGACCTCTGAAACAGCGTGGTGCGGCCAACGATGGCTTTCGCGTATATATTTACCTTTCCACCATATTACGGGCAATTCTATGTAGATCTCGCTTCCTTCTCGCGCGAGCCATTAGAATTTCAAGCGTGGCTCCCGGAATTTTCGATAAAATCATCCCCCATTCGCCGTCCTTTTTCTCGCTT